GCCAAGCCTTATCTGTGCTGGATTGCTGCCAAGCCTTATCTGTGCTGGATTGCTGCCAAGCCTTATCTGTGTTTATTGCTGCCCAAGCTTGTCTGTGCCGGTTTGCTGCCAAGGGCCTGTCTGTCTGTTAATTAAATGCCGTAACGTATCTTTGGCTCGGAGTGTGTGTTGGTGTGGGACGAAGGGGGTCAGAACAGAAAGGTGTGTTGGACATGCTCATGGTCGTAAGTCAAAGACCAGCTATATCTAGCATTAGCCTTCAGATTTTTGGCCAGAGTCCAGTTGGTGATGCTAGAAATGGAGCCTAAGAGCCTATCTGGCCTTTAGAAGCCAATATGGAGCCCAGAGATTCCCCCAGAAGGTCTCCAGGTCATCACCTTCCAGCAGAGAAAGCAGCATCACCACCATGTCCTTTTGAAGGTCCAACAGCTCCTTCAGAAGCCCAATCTGGCTGGAATCCTGGAAGAACAAGCAAGTGTAAGATACAGAATGCAATGAAGGGACCTCTTTCTCCAGTAGGCCCCGAGGTCTTATTGAAACAGACCTCCTCAAGGATCCCCACAGGCCTTCTTCTCTTTCAATCCTTCACCCATCAATATTCTAATCTTCACCCACCCACACCAGTTGGCCATCGAAACGCAATCCCCGATAGGTGTGAAGGAGAAGGTTGTGTGACTCCATAGGGGGGGAAACACACAACCTGTGCTCTAGAATCCCTCCAGGGTCCCATAACACGTAGAAACTAAGCCTAGACTGAGGGAAGTTTGGGATGGGAAGTCCGTTGAGATTACTGCTTCTCAACTGTGGTGACTTTATGATGCGTGGACTACATCTCCCAGAATTCCCCCAGCCAGCCATTCTGGAATTCTGGGAGATGAAGTCCACCGAATCTTAAAGTCACAGAGGTTGAAAAACATTGGTTTAGATACATATCCAAGCTGACCAGTTATGGTCCCCATGTTCTACACGTCGGGACCCAACCAGATGACCTCCCAGTGTCTCTTTCCTGAAGCCTCCCCATTCTCTTCGGAAGATGTCAACCAGGAACTAACCCCAAATACGTATACAGAGTGCATTTCTATCTCTTTTGGCGGCTTCCTTACCTCAGGATAAGTTTCACTCCGAAAATGCTCCTCGTGGGCAGCGCAACAAAGAGATAGTTTGGTGAGGGAAAGAGATAATTCTGGAAAGATTTCTTCTCCTCACTGAAGTTGTCCCAATGCCTATTCCCACCCTTGTGCTCGGAAGAATAGACTTATATATCGCTTTACCGTGATTTACAGCCCTCTCTAAGCGGTTTACAGAGTCGGCCTCTTG